CCGTTAAGAAGTTCAACAATGCCCACCAAAAGTTCACGTTACGCCCCTAGCAACGGCGTGTTTCTAAGGAATGAACGCATACTTTTCAACGATATAACAACGCGTTTAAAATGCAAGCTGCAAGCTCAACTGCAATTGGCTGTATTATATAATGCATAGGAACTCTCCGGAATGCACTGCAGATTTACCGAGTAATAGATAGCATACGCTCCTTGATTTTACTATCGTAGTGTAATATTGTCTCGACTTTGCTCTGCAAGATAACTTTGTCTCGAAACGTAGAAGTTTTTTCTGACGTATTTTCGGTAAGTATAGAGACTTTAATATCCCATCACAATTTCCCGACTTCTGTTGCTGTTGAACATTGCCTACACTGGAACTCACAATCGGTCGAGATACTGTATCAGTATTACATGAAACGTTCGATTTTTACACGTTGTATTTTATTTTTGTGGAGGTAGCCAATCATCGAATATATGTATATATCCCATTTTATACAATAAATGTTTATAAAACTTACACTCGAAAATTTCCATCTACAAAATTCTTCAACTATTATTCAATCGGGTAAGATGCCAACGAAATCTTGATTTTTGCCCATACCTTAACAAGGCAGTACCCTAGTATTAAAAGCTCGACAACCGGACTCTATTGCTTCCTTGGTTATAGAACGCTTCACCGGAATCACAGGGCCGCAAGTTTGACTCCTGCCAGAGAACGTGTATATGCTACGTTTACACTATACCGGATAGCTTTCTGTAGCGGTTCGAAAAAGCAACTATCCGACACGGAATGTATAACTTTCGGAAGTTGAGCAAAACAAGATCTCTCCGTTGCAAGAAATTCTCTGAAAATAGCGTTCCTAAAAAGTACGGATAGACCACGTCGCTACGGAAAGCTATCTGGTAGCCTATACAGTGTAAACGCAGCCATGTATAGTTGCATTTTTCGTAGCTGTCTCTGGTTAGGTCTAATTCTTAAAGACCATGCATGTCAAGTCCATTCTGCGCATCAGTTCTGCTCATAACAAAGGGGGACCCACAGATATAAACAATATTGCCCAAATTTTGCATCTTTCGAACTTTTTTGAATTGAAACGTACTCTAGTTTATATTCATTTACAATAGCGAACCGGAAAAGTGTTAGATATTCAGTTAGTATGTCTTATTTTACAAATATAGCAGTTCAAAATGTAAACAAAGGATTTGTTTACATTACGGACTTGACATGGTCTTTAATTGAACTTATTATTAGCATGACAAAATGACTGGATGCTGATTGGTTGAGAGGAGTTATCTTCTGTAATCAGTGGCAGATACTGCAATTTCATTGGTTACAGGAGTGCGATTTGAGCATTAGTCGCACCTTTTCTGAGCTGTAATCGCACTCTTGTCTACAGCCAATGAAAATCAGTCTAGTATTTACAACTAGCCAATCAGCATTCAGGATACATACTTTGAATTTTATTTTCTTTATTGCTGTAAAAAAATTCAAAATGGAGGAATTCACAAATTTTGAAAATTTTGACCTTTTAATTTAAATCAGCCCTCGAAAACCATCAAAATTGAGGTCTGAAAAAAAATGCCGACCTAAATCTGACCTAGCTCGGCACATCTCGGGATTTTTAAAATTTGTTTCCAT